CTTAGAGGACTGTAGGGAAGAGGGAGAGAATCTAAGACGGAGGTAACTTTTCTTTTAGAGGTGAAAGGAACTGGGGCAGAGGAGAACAGTAAGAGCTGGGGCAAGTGTACAGAGGGGAGGAGACAGATGCTTTCAAGCCAGAAGAGGCACATGACCATACTGAATTATGCAAAATACCCCTCTCGCACTTATCCCTGGGAGAGGATGCCTGACTGCAGGAAGCCTTCTCACACATCTCCTAACACCTCTTCCTGTTGGAACAGCATTCTGGGAGATGAAGTCATTGGCATCTGGCCAAGAAATGCAGACAAGGCTGATGTCAACTGCGCATGTGTGACCCATGCTGGCCTCAACGTTGTCACAGGAGATGACTTTGGGCTGGTGAAGCTCTTTGATTTTCCATGCACAGAAAAATTTGTGAGTCTTCCTTAGAGTAATCCCCCTGCACTGCCTCCAGGCTGTCTGTTCTGCAGTCTGTGGAAGATAGTGGCCACATCTAGATGGCCATCTAGAATCTAGAATAAGGGGACTCTTACTCCAGCCCTGTAGAGATTTGGCAACACTTAACCTTTTCATCTCCCTCTGGAGGGGAAGTTCTGGAAGCCAGGAGAAGGGAGGATGGAGGGTAAACAAAATGGCTACAAGTGGAACAAGAATGAGACAAGAAAGCCAGGGAAAGCCTGGCTAATAGAGATGTCCAGACCACATGGGAATCCTATGAATGAAGGAAGGTTTCGGGAGGAGGGGATTTGAGTCCTGGGAGTGGTCCATGGTTGCTGGGAGGAGCAGGGTCTCTTAGCTGTCTCCATTCACTTTGCTCACAGGCCAAACATAAGCGTTACTTTGGTCACTCGGCTCATGTGACGAACATCCGTTTCTCTCATGATGACAAGTATGTGGTCAGCACTGGAGGAGATGACTGCAGGTACCAACCTGATTAATCTGGCTCTGACTCCCTGGCCTTCACTCCCTCCCCCTCCATACCTCAAGTGTCCGCTGGGTCAGCCCCTCCCAGGGGCACGGGGAGGGGCTGAGGTGGGCTAGTAAGCAGGAAATTCAGTGAGTCCTAATGAAGACAAGGACTTTCCCAAGTATAAGGTATTTAGTCTCTGGTGACTCCCAACCCAAATCTTGATGGGCCTATGTCTCCACTAGAGCTGTCCTGGGATTGATGGCAAGTCAAGGGCATGTGATAGCTACTCTGAGCATTGCTGCATGGAGGGACAGGTGGGTGAGAGACTCAAGATGGCTGATTTCAGTAGGAGCTCTTGGACGGCCCACAGCATCACTGCATATAACCAGGAGGTTAGAATGACCTTGATCCATATGTCTTTTAACTCATAACTCCCAATTGATCACCAGAGTTCCTAAGAAAGGTTTAAAAATAATAATATCGAGGGGCCAGCCTGGTGGCGCAAGTGGTTAGGTGCGCGCGCTCGGCCGCGGGGGTGGCCCAGGGTTTGCTGGTTCGGGTCCCGGGCGTGCACCAACGCACCGCTTGTCAAGCCAAGCTGTTGCGGCATCCTATATAGGGTGGAGGAAGATGGGCACGGATGTTAGCCCAGGGCCAATCTTCCTCAGCAAAAAAAGGAGGAGGATTGGCAGATGTTAGCTCAGGGCTGATCTTCCTCACACACACACACCCAAAAAAAATAATAATTTTAATATTGAGCCTCAGTCACCCTGAGAAATAAGCAGGGCAAATGTTACCCAGTTTTACACATGAGATCTGATGAGGGGTGATGCCATTAGGCTCAGTGCTAATTAGTAGCAAGAGAACCTCAACCAGCTATTTGGTCTCCTGACACAGGGCTGTTTCTGACCATAACCACTGTTCAGTGTAAAACGGGCACATTGTTCTGTGAGACGTGACTGGTCTTCCAGTGTTTTGGAAAGACCGCCTACTAGCCTGCTCCAGAGACGACATCAGCCTCTTCAGCATTTCCAAGAAGGCAGCTTTCTTCTGGCCCTCCACCAAGGGCATTTCTTATTTGGTGTGGAGGAAAAGGACAAGGTCAGATCTAAGTCCCTCAGCTTCTCCACATCTAATGTAGTTGAAGGGCTTTATCACATGAATATTGGTTTCTGTTCAGCCCAAGCAAAATTCTTGGGGGGATGAAGAAGAAATGCATGTATTCCAGGTATTTTTTAGGGCTCTGAGAGAGGTTGTGGAAAAGGCACCTGTAGAGAATTTCAACCCATTTCCTACCCAAAAGCATTGTGTAGAAAATGGCCCCAGAGGTTGCTTTCTGATGCCCGCCTAGGAGCACCCATCTCCAGTCTGCTGTGCCAACTGGCACTTAGAGCCCTTGAGATAATACAGACAGCAGCTCCCTGTGGAGTGTAAACACTCATTCAAAGCAGCACCAGCTAAACTGTGAACCAGCCAGCAATAAGAGCCAAAGTGAGTTGGTCATCCCTGGGCAGGAGATATGAGGTAACTTTTGATTACTAAAAAAGTTGTAGTAGTAACCTTAAAAATGCAGGGCCCCTCATACCGTGATCCCTGGCTCTGTTGCTAAACACTAGAAAGGGCTCTCCTATTCAAGTGGAGCTGATAAAACCTTTTCAATAGAAACAAGAGAGATAGTGTGAAGTCAAATTGCCAAAAGTCCTCACATTTCAGCACGGACACTGCAAGAGCCAAACAAAACAAAAAGCAATAGACCTTTTTTAAAAAAGCAGCAGACCTGTAATTGGTGGCAGGATCCCTGGTTTGCTTTTTGAAATTGAAATGTTTGATACATCACTTGAGATTGGTTCTGGAGCACTTGGCAAGACTGTTTTTTGTCACTTGACAAAAGTATGATGTTCAGCCATGCGAAACGTTTGTGGTCTGCTTTTTCAGTGTATTTGTGTGGCGATGTCTGTAAATGCCAGAAACCTCTTCCTTTACTGCTGCTGCTGCTACCACCCAGCAACTGCAGAGGCAGTGACGAGGCACCTCCTCGCCACCAGCTGCTGGGATATGCCTCCAAGGCTGCAGGCTGCACAAGCTCGAAGTGCTAGTGAAGGGGTGTGACCGCTCCCATCATCTGGAATCTCCAAAACGGTGATGCCAAGAAGGAAGGTCAGTTCTCAAATGTTAAGACCGCTTGCCTCTGTTCCTGAGACTAAAAACTATATGTACTAACTACATTGACAAAATAACCCTGATATTGTAGCCCACTGACCAAATTTAAAGCCTCAGTTACCCTAACCAATATGTAGCTTTTAATTTGCATCAAAACTTTTACAAAAGATGTTTTACTATTGTTTCTACACACTTTAAAAATGTTCATTTTTACAAATAAGTTGAACAAGATAGCTTAAGTTAGATGCACCGAAGTACTAGAGATATTGATAGCCTCTGTTCTCCACATCTAGCTTCCAAAACCAAATGAGCCACGTATACACAGGTTGAGAAACTTAATTTTTTAATGTTTCATTTGCAGAGTTTTATATCCATTAAGTGCCTTTGAAAGTTTCCCGTTGTGTGGGCTGTTGTCTCACCTCCCACAGATGATCTCCTTTCTACATATGGTGCTAAAACATCAAAACTGAGGAGGGCTACAGGACTCTTAGCAGATTCCTGGTCTGTCACCCATGTCATGTGTTTATGTCAAGGCTTCCTAAATGAAAGACATCAGTTACCTACTTAGGAAATAGTGGCTCTGGGAAGGTGAGCAGCAAAGAAACTTGAGGGACGGGGTAGAATGGGTTTTCATTACGTTTAGTGCCAAAAACCACAAAATTCAAAATAGAATTCCAATTAAAAAAACCTCTACTACCAAAAGGAAGCCAAAAAAAAAAAAAAAAGCTTAAGCTGGTCCAGGAAGATGAGCTGATTTATCTTGTTAAACCTAAAATGAGGTGACCTGAGGCTGCACTGGGTTTACCACTCCCAGAGTGGGGTTGACTTGATGCCACTGATTTGCTTCAGGTGAACTATATAGGTTAAGTCTGGATTGAAAAAAAAAAAATCTCTGCAAAACAAATTCCTTAGCTCAAACAATATTTGATAATCAAGATTATAAAACAAAATAATCTAGCTTAGAGTTCCTAAAAGTTGGCTGGTTGGTTGGATGACAGAATGTGAGTTGGACAATATTAAACAGAAGACATCCCTGAACCACCTCAATCATACTTACTTTACACTCAGCCCACCACTGACTACAGGAGGGGGCTGATGGCACACACTGAATGGAAGGCTGGTGAGGGGCTGGGGGCTCTGAGCACATATATGCCAATTAGTCCTTCTGGTCAGTGACTTAAAATTCTGGATCTTAAGTACTGGCTATTTGCAGTTGTCAGTTTAGAGAAAAGGTGAAATGAAGCATTTTTCAATTAAATAGATTAACATTTACCACGGAAGTGCTTCAGCATTCTAAATGGATTAGATCACTCATTAAGCTATTTTTATATGCCAATTTATTAATGCCTTACGTTAATCCACTGATTGATAGGTTGTTGGGCCCACAGTTAGTCCTTATGCAGTCCTAACTCTGTTTTCTGTGACCATGTGACGCTGAGTTGATAACCATGTCTGCCTATATTGTACCACTAACCTTTCATACTGATTGATTGGATCATGCATTGAAATAACCATGTGGAAGAATAATGAATTGATCGATGATATGTACAACTATATTTAAAGAGCAATAGTATCGTCTGTGTGTCAGGAAATCTTAAATCTTATTATTTGTAAACATTTATATGGTATGATTTTATGTATGTTCATAAATCCTGCACTGTATTCTATTATACGTTAAAATATTGGTGCATGAATTTATTTTCAATTATCAAAGTATGAAAAATACATAATTTAAAAACATTTTTGTATGTGTCAAATAATAAATTTGATTATGTAAACATAGTCTTTTGTTTTCAAAGTAAACACAGCTGCACTATGAGCTGAAAACCTTTCTCAAAAAGTACAAACGTCCACCCACTGGTTGAAGCCAAGACTATCCTTTGTGCATACTTTAAGCTGCAGTTTCATGAAACCAAAATACCAAACATATTTTAAGTCTATAAGCTTTATTGATACTTTGCTTTTACAGTTCACAATGCATTCCACAGATTTAGTTCAGTACAACTTAAACCACAATTGTATAAATCTTCATTTTATGATTTCTTGCATAACAATATTCGATATTTGCAAACATTTTTGGAAGCATTAGATTCAGTCCATAGATTCAGGGTTTGTGACAAAATTAACTACAGTAAGTCTGTGCGATGAAGTTGATGTGAAGAATTCTACGTGCATGGCGTCGGTTCACGTTGAAAACAACAGATGGTAGTGCTCCTAGAAATATTTTTTCTTTTTCTAGCTTATGTGCTTTGGAACTACACACGTACAACCAAAGACTCTGAAAGATCAAGCACTGTAGGGCAGCTGGAAGGTAAAGGTCTCTAAGCTTTGTGAAACACTATACATAGATATATATATAATCTATATTTACTTATATTGGCAATTAATATAACAGTAAAATTCACAATACACCTAGAACATACCAGAAAGGCAAGTTTTTTCACTCCTGCTTTAGTGGTATGATCTCGTCTAAACATTTCATTTCAGAAAATCTGCATCCAATCTACACAGACCATACACAGTGCACAAACTGTGAAAAGGGTTATTTTTTTCAGCTCCACTTTCTCTGCAATTCCCAAAATACAGCAAGACTACCTGTAACAAAGTGTACTATATCTTTCTCAGATCTTTTTTTATTCACCAGTGCCTCATATAGGAAAAACAAATATGATTACAGTTTAAATCCATACATAGCAGCTTACAATACTTAAGGTGATAAACACATGGCAGTCAAGACAGGTAATTGTTCCTCAGACACTGCATTGCTAAAAATAAGGATCTGTGAAACTGCAATGTCAAGGTTTCATTCTTCCCTGACCCCCCCCCCCATGTAATCAAATGAATATCCCCTTTAAAGATAAACTCCTATTGTTAATTATTTCAGGCTTTTTCATTCAGCTTTGCGCTTCAATCCAGGGATTTTTGCTTGAATTCTACAAATGAAAAGGAGGGGGAAAAGGTCAATGTAAATATTTTTATATTTTAGTATTTTGTTTTCTGCTTCTTAAAATGCCATCCTTCAAGAACTACTTTTAAACTGCTCAGCTTATACAGGAAATGAAATCCTAAAGCCGTCAAACTATAAGCTATAATTTTGCCACCTTGGCCTCACGAATTAGATTTAAACAAAGCCTTAAATACACATAGTGAATATAGAAATTAATGATCCAAACGTTAGAAAACATCTTTTGGCAACACTGATGACACACTTTAGGTCTGACATGAGATTTACTACTCATTATGCCTGTAATATGCAAATACTGCACCGTTCTCCAAGTCCAGTACACTTTATCCTCAGTAAAAGTTGCAGATTTTCAATACTTACTTAGCCATAGCATCTTTAACATTCTTATTTGCAAGTCCTAGATAATGATCTATCTGTGCCTGAAAGAAAAATATAAAGGAGTTATTAGAAAATTACCATTGCTGAAGAATCTTATTAACCATTTCTATGTTCCAACAAAACAAAGGCTTAAGGAACCACTACCTTTCTCATTTTTATAAGGCTTTGGAAACTGGCACTGATACGTTTGTAAGTTCCATGTAATAGAGTGAGCTCTGTATTCTGAAATCTGCAGTTAAGAAATTACCTGATGCCGTTCATAAATAACAGGAACGCTGAAGAGCGAAATCAGAGCTGAAAAAGGAAATATACAACCTTTAAAAAAGACTGGTATGATTTAAGGAACAAACTAAAAAGCCATCAAATTGGCAACACTCTTAAGGTAGCCAGGCAGTATTCCTAATGAATGAATAAATACACGAGGAGCACCTGCGGGTGGTGAGGCACTCCAGGACAATGCATTAACAGAGGGAGGGTGCAGAAACCATTCCCGGCTTCAAATAACATCACATAGACTTTATAAAATAAAGGTACCCCTGGTTGGTTAGCTTTATGACTGCACCATCAGATAAGGCCACCCTCGATCTGGTTTTACCACCGTTGGTTGGAGCAGTCTTCAGGAACTAAAGTAGTACTTCAATAAACAGTATCAGCAATTTATTTAAAGAGGTCACAACCTCAAATGTACAGCCTCTATTTTTCCTACATTATAAGAATATTCTTCACTAAAATGTCTCAAGTTCCTTGCTCAAAATCTTTCCTTTTTCTACAATTTTTCATTCCAATGGTTTTGTAGACTTACCCAAAATCAGTAGTGTCAGACCATTGAACAAGGCACCAACATAGGTAAATACCCACATCAACACTGCAAACTATAAGAAAATAACATTAGCCTATTAAAAACAAAATTCAGGTTAAGTTTCTTAATTAAGCTTTCAAATAAAAGCAACTCATCTAAATGCCAACCTACCAGAGGCATATTCCTTGGAGACTTGATAAAGTAATACGGATACTTCACTTCTAAGTCACCAGTCTCAATTCAGAATTTCAGAATCCTAATTAAAATAATAGATTTGATCCATTTTCTCTGGACTCTGCTACCAAGTAGTTTAGTTTATTCTGTTTTCTCTGAGATCAGAAAACATGCCAAAAGTACACCTTACCTCTCTCCAGCATTTAGCTTTTAAATGGGAAGACTGAAAAGGTATTATGAGAATTAGCTGTTAAAACTGATGTTAAAGAACTAACAAGTTAAGTGCTTAAAGATATATATGAGCTGAATAATTCAAACATTAAAATCTCAGACATCTGAATAAGCAATAATGGGGCAGAGAGTACTCATTATCAGGGAGACTAGGTTTCCAATACCAAAAATATCACCTCTAGCATTTTATTAAAGATCAGAGGCACCATCTTCCCGGTGATACATGATTTCACAGCCATAGTTAACGCTGGGAATGAGGACTCCTCAAACTTTTATACCTACTAATAAAACTGACCATTATTGTTCTTTTAACCACCGCCGCCTTTATTTACTTAACAAACAGTAATATAGTTTTTACTATAGTGCTGGGCACTGTTTTAAATGCTTTACAAATATAAATTCATTTATTCCTCTTACTAACTTCATGAGGTAAGCACTATCATCACCACAGCAGATGCAGACACTAAATGGAGAGGTTTAATAACTTGCCTGAGGTCAGATTTCACTGTCCCCTCCAGGGGCTGGGGACTGCAGTGAAGTGACTAAACTCTCCTACTTTCGTAATCCTGGTCTCAAAATCTGGGATTTTTTTTTTTTTTATCATCAAATAAGGCAGTTTGGAAAAGGCTTTGCTTCTAAAAAGTGATTTCATTTTGAGAAGTCCTTTATTTCCTCTCCATACTTTAGTTTGTTCATGAGATGGCTGTACAAGAGAATTTCGAAGTTTTCTTCCAGTTTTAAAACTCAGTGACATCATATAGTAGAAAGACTCAATGACATGTTCAAAGCAGTTCTTGAAGACTGAAACACAAAGTCCATCTGGATTTTATTAAATATTTGTCATCAGCAATTCCTTTGCTTCCTAGTAAAAGCCTTCATGTATCTGGCAATCGCTCTGCCCTATTTAGTAGGTAACAAACATAGCACCACGATGCCACCATCTACCGTGATTGTTTAGGTACATATAACACGGTGTAAAGGAAAAGAAGAGGAAAGAAGAGTTAGCACCTCCATCATCTAAAGCACGGATTGGCAAACTTTTTCTGTCAAGTAAGATAGTAAGATAAACATTTTAGGTTTTGTGGGCCACAAGGGGTCTCTGTCATATATTCTTTGAATATTATCTTTAAAAATGTAAAAATCATTCTTAGCTCCCAGGCTGTACAAAAATAGGCCAGACAGATAGCAGTTTGCTGATCCTTGATCTAAAGCATAATCTTTAGATCTTTCTCCATGTATTCACTCATTCAACAAAATCTGACTGAATGTCTACTATGAGCTGGGTGCTGAGCAGTAATTAAGGTAAGCGTATTCACCGCAGGTCAGGAAGACACTTTGGATTCCTGTACCAACTGTCAGTTCTACAAATAACAACACTCTAATTACCCCTACAACTGAATTTAATGTTCAAGTGAGCAGATGTCAAACACTCATAACACCTGTCAATTGAAAATCAAAAATTAAATGCTGCCCTGCTCTTAGCAACTGCTATGGAACCACTGGTAGAAAGATTTGAAGCATGACTCCAGTTAGCAAGCCTTTTCCCTCTTACATAGTTTTACAGACTTATTGCAGAAGCTAAATATAACTTCTGCACTTGAGGAGGTTTACTATAGAGCAACAGAGCTATTTTCATCCATCACCATCCACAAGTCTACAGCAAAGAGTCAACCTTCCACATTTTAGAAGAAACTGCTTTAGCAGTAAAGACACTCTTACCTTGACAGAATTCAGATATTAACACACACAAGCTAAAAATAAGTCTTAATTTTGTCATTAAGTCACTGACAAGGCCATACGCCAAATCCACAGGAGAGAAGCCTGAGACTTCACAATGGGCCATCCAAGGGGCTCAAATGTCACTGGACTTGCCTCTTGGAGAACACTCTTCCTAAAAGGGAGGCTATCCAGAGGCAAAAAGAGAGGAGCAGAGAGAGGCTTCAAATGTCTGTGGGGCCAGACAGGTGACATAAATGCAGGAGGGAGGCTGGGTGAGGACTGAGGCAAACAGAGAGATGCATTCTCCCACTCAAGGAGGCACCCACAACCCAGCTCCAGACTGTTGCCATGCACGTATTCCAGGCCAATGTTGCCAAATTTTCCCATTTTAAGAAAGAACCAGGAATTCCCATTTTTATGTGCTATCAAAGGATTGTTAAATGTGGTAGTAAGAACTAGCATCTAGCAATTACACAATTACTGGAACTGTTATATAATAACAACAGCAACTAACATTTTTTTGAACATACATTAGGTCAGTGAATCTCATCATAACTCCCAAAGTTCAATACTGTTATTATCCCCATAGAAGAGGAAACAGAGACACAGATTAAGCAAGTTGCCAGATTTTTATTAGATGATGTCTCAATGGTGGGAGTGGAGGTAGGGCATTTTTAAGGAAAATGGAGGGAAGGTGCTTAGAATTTCAGAAATTACTTTGGCAATTCTGACATTTTCAAACTTTTCCTGCATTTTTAAATACTGAAAATTATTTGACCTTTTTTGATATATTCAGCCTCACTCCTATGACGTTGACTGTCTCTACATTTTCCCCAGCCCATTTCCTTTCTAATTTTTCTTTGAGCCAAAGAAACCAGAAAGGAAACTGTCAAAATGTGCATGTTAATAACCCCGTAAGACCCTGAGGGCTAGATTTTAAGATTCTTTTGGGTCAGCTACTTCAGGAGTTCACGCCTTTTTCTGCTCACTTTCAGATTTAAGATTCTATTCCAGAATATTATGTCCAGGAACTATAGCTAGAAATTTTCTTAGAAACAATTTTAACATATATTGTCACTAAAAGTTACAGAACTACCGTCATACAGAATCTTGTCTTTATCACCCAAAGGCATATGACAGAAAAATAAGAACCTTTGCCTAAAACACCTGGTCTTAGCATCTAGTAAGTAAAATTATTGGACAGATTTAAAATCTGAATATAAGGAAGTAAAATAAATCAGTCTAACAGGTCAAACTGATTTTTCCTTTACATTGAAAAAATTAAGAAAGAACGAGAATTGAAAAAACTGTTTTTTGCTTTCTTTAGGCAGAGAATATGACTCTCCTACCAGCTGCTGTGGTTAAAAGGCAAAAAGAAAGTCAGAAGGAAAATCACTTTGTTTTTAAAAATGCTCTCTATATAAACAAACACTGGGGCATAAGACTGGCAAATGCTCAAGGATCTGTCTCTAGAAAGGGAATACTATTAAGTCATTTTTATAAAGAGCCAAGTGTGTTAAGTTTTTTATCAGCTTTTTTCAGTAAGAGACATTTTAAGCAAGTATCGGTGTTTCTACAGTACCCTTATTCAGTGGACAAAAACAGATGGAATCTGTACTATAACACAGTGACATTAAAAAAAAAGGGTTTAACTGAAGTCTCCTCATGTAGCAGAACCACAAGGTTTATCAAGGAAGACCCTTCATGTGTATTATCAGAGCATGCACCTGAATCACCAAAGGCTTCATACCCATCACCTTTGCCTTGGGAGAAAAGACAGATACCCTGCCTTATTCTTTTGCCTCAACAGATTCTGAGACCTAAATGCAAAGTTCATTCTATGTGTTAATAGGTTGAAACAACTATTATTTATTTGGAGCCCTGAATGAATCACCATCTACAGAAGTCATCAAACAGCTTTCCTTGAGCTCTGGGCTTGCCAAAAAACACTATTCTGAAAACCATTCAAGTAAGTTTTCTTCTTTTATTTTTTTATTTTCAAAAAAGAAATCCTTAAGGAGATACAAGTAGTAAACTATAATTCTAATGCAAGTGTTTTTTTTCAATATTAAGAAACAAAGAATGTTTTAAAAATATAAGACAACTTCATAAAAATAAAGTGTTCCAGAAAGCAAATCTATCTCATTATGTGCCACTTGCTGTTACTTTCAAATTAGCAGAATCACTCAAGGCAAGAATTTATCAAGACAGTTTCTTTCATTTATGCCAGCTTCCTCATGAATAACATAATTGCTTTCAAAAAAAAAGCTTAAGGTAATTTTCAAAAGAAATTTAAAAATGAGATTTAACAGCAAAAAAAATTCTTTTTCTCATAAAAGTAAGTAACGGAGGTTCTGAGTCTTAAACTGAGAGAAGCACACAGCCAAAAATAATGTCCATCTACTGGCTTATTAAGGCCAAAATGTTAGTTAAAAGCATTTTGAACATTTAAACCCATTCTGACCAGTTCAGAAATTGTTTCACTGAGTCTGAAGGCCCAATCATCCTGTTGCTGTGATATCCATGGCTTGCATGATAAACTACAAACTAGTGCATATCTCTTGGAAAAGAAAAATTATGATAATTACTACCATAGTACATTTCTACCCAGACTTAGAATGGAAATGAGTCTGTCTTTTTTTTTTTTTTTTGGTGATGAAGATCAGCCCTGAGCTAACATCCATGCTAATCCTCCTCTTTTTGCCGAGGAAGACCAGCTCTGAGCTAACATCCATTGCCAATCCTCCTCTTCCCCACCCCCCCCAAAGCCCCAGTAGATAGTTGTATGTCATAGTTGCACATCCTTCTAGTTGCTGTATGTGGGACACGGCCTCAGCATGGCCGGAGAAGTGGTGCATCAGCGCGCGCCCGGGATCCAAACCCGGGCCGCCAGTAGCGGAGCGCGCGCACTTCACCACTAAGCCACAGGGCCAGCCCCGAAATGAGTCTTTTTTTTTTTTTTTAACTTTATTTATTTTTCCCCCCAAAACCCCAGTAGATAGTTGTATGTCATAGTTGCACATCCTTCTAGTTGCCGTATGTGGGACTCGGCCTCAGCATGGCTGGAGAAGTGGTGCGTCGGTGCGCACCTGGGATCCAAACCCGGGCCGCCAGCAGCGGAGCGCACGCACTTAACCGCTAAGCCACGGGGCCGGCCCCGAAATGAGTCTGTCTTAAGCAGAGTCACAGGCAGTAACACACAACACACAAAACACAAACAGCAACTTCTATAAAGGAAAAGCCCTAAGTCCCAGTGCTTGGGACTCACAGTACATGACTGGTATAGTGCTTGCATGGAGTCAGTCTGAACTGTAGGAGAGTTTATTTGCAAGGTGAGACTCTTAACAGCTCCTATGTAACAAGATCCAAAAACTAAAGAAAAACTTCCAACAATTACCAACTGAAGATTAGATAAGGCGTTTCAGAACATTAAAGCTTTTCCAGAATAAACATTCCAAAAAAGAGTCCAAAATATGACATAGTTTATGTGTATAGATGCATCACACAGAAGCTAAGAAATTAAGTGCTTAGACTCTAAAAGTCAAGCAGATTAAATCACATCTGGTATTAAATCGAGATAATCTTTTATTTTATTTTATTTTATTTGTTTATTTTTTTCCCCCAAAGCCCCAGTAGATAGTTGTATGTCACAGCTGCACATCCTTCTAGTTGCTGTATGTGGGACGCGGCCTCAGCATGGCCGGAGAAGCGGTGCGTCAGTCCGTGCCCGGGATCTGAACCCGGGCCGCCAGCAGCGGAGTGCGCGCACTTAACCGCTAAGCCACGGGGCCGGCCCTGTTAGATAATCTTTATTCTTATAATCAAAATTCCCTTTAATTTTCTCACTTTTAATCTTTATGATTTCCAAAAGTATGAATTTATAACTTATTTTCCTTTAAAAAGGACTAATAGTTTCCTCCATTTTAAATGATTGGATTCTGAATTTTGAAATCCAAGTTAACAGTAACATGCTTTCATTACATCTTTATTATTTACTTTAATATAAATAGAATTTTATACTCTTTAACTCTTTTAATATTAAATTCCGGGTATGTCAAAAATGAAAAGCAAATAAACTTACTTTCAGAGAATCAACTAAGTCATCAACTAAGAAGAGGCGTCTGAGTTCTTTTATCGTGCAGTTCACATGACCAAGAGCAGAATTACTGTATTTCTGAACCAACTCCTCAGAAATAGCGACTTCAGATTCCAAATATGCCCTAGAAAACAAAATACATCATAATTGTCACTGAATGGAGTGATTTTCCCTGGATGTCTTGTCAATCAGCAATTAGATATCTGTAAAAGAAGACATTAATAAAATATTTTACTATAAAAGCCTACTATTTCCAAATTAAGCACAATGTAAAAATTCACCAAGCAAGAGATATTTCATTGATATGTGCTGTCAGCTGATGAGCATAAAAAAAAGCATAGCTTTGAAACCAGACTGATCTGAGCTTGAATCTCAAGCTCTGCCTCTTACTAGGCCTTGTAACTTTGGAAAGTTATTTAGTCTTCCCTCTAAACCTCAGTTTCCTCATTTATAAAATGAAGATTATCATGAGGATTCAATGAGTGAAGTGCTTAACACAGTCAGGCACAAGGAAGCACTCAATAAATGGTAGTTGTTATTATGGATTTGGTTTCTTCTTCAAGTTGACATTATGTTGTCTCATCAAGTTTTCCTAACAAAGATCCTATTCATTTCCTAATACTACACTCTCTCAGCCTACTCTTCAGGGGAAACTGCCCAATATGTCAAGCCCCAGATTGTGAAATGGCTGCCAAAAGTACAGTGTTAATCCCAGTAAAACATAAAAGTTACTGTCCATTTATATGCCCTAATCTATACTGAGATAGCTGGAATTGTTAAATTTAAGAAGATAACTGTAATGGGGGGAAAAAGTCAAGTCTGCAGGAATGCAAAGAATTGTGTGATTAGTTATTGTTTCCAAGAAGCCATTTTATTTTGGCAGAGTAGAACCAAATCAGAAGCGCTAAGCATTCTCATATCTTTTGGGAGTAGCTCCTTACCCAGCCCCTCCTCATCACTTCCCCATGTCAGTGGACACTAGTTACTTACACTGAAAATAGGTCCTCTTTGAAAACTCCTTGTCCCATAGTTTTACCTCTGCAACATGCCCCAAATATGTCTCCTCGTTTTTATTCACTATGTTATCACACTAGGTTAAGTGCTCATTATTTATGTTTATATGTGGAATATTCTATCAGTCTCCAAACCAGTCTCTAATCTGTCTGCATCCTAATCCAGTCCTCTAGCCAATGCCAGATTCGTTTTATGAGCTATCCTAGATAGTGCTATTTAGGTTGAACTCAGGGGGCAGTTAGCATACCTGCTACTACCTAGCTATGTAACGTTGCAAAAGGCATAGCACTTCTCTGGGTTATAGTTCCAACTCTAAAATTAGAGAAATAGACCTTCCTAAATCCCTTCAGGCTCAAACATTCTGTGATTCTATGGTTCCAACTTTTCAACCAGAGCCCTCCTAAATCTTTCCAACCTTATTTCCCAATACTCACCATGTTGTAGCCAATGAGCCATTCATCAAACATTTTTTAATCTTAATGCCTTTGTTCATCATACTGTTTTCCCAATCTACAAAGCTCTCCTCTCATCTCTAGTGATAACATTTCCAGTCAGTTAGCCCCACCTCAAATCCCACCCACATATGAAGCCTCTTCTGCTCTTTCTTCCCTAAGACCCTACTATATAACTCTAACAGTGCTTTCTTTTGTATTATTTTTATGGTATTTACCATACCCAGCCCTGACATATGGATGTGTGTATACCTGTGTATTTTTCCTAATAGAGTATAAACTGTCAAGGACCAGGAATATATCTTTACTAGTACAATGGTCTAGCACACAGTTAGACAATTGTTCAAGTATCAAGTTGTTAGTATCAAGTTAAAAATAGTCAAACATTCACATCTACCCTTAAGTCAGCAATAATTTATTTATGCAGCTTTGAGAAATATAGAAAAGTGGCTGATATAACTTGAGTTGGTATTCTGCTTCTTTGTACCACTACTTTTGTTCTTGCTGAAGACAAGATGCATGGCCAGCAGGCATAAAGGCAGCCCTCTCCATCAGTGACAGTCTGTGGATATTTATATTCATTCAACTGGCACTTATGTGAAATTAATACAATGCCAGCACTGCCATCACTCTTTTCCAATGACCACAGCTATTACATATAAACTGTATGATATCATCTTTACTAGTGTGACTGAATAACTTGAAAAAACTGTCCAACAAGCTTAAACTGGCATGTTAGCTGAATTTACTTTATAATGACCATAAAAGCCCTTTGAGCTAAGAATAAAGTATTTCTAAGGAAATAAAGAATAAAGAAGTCACTAGTTTTTTCAAAAAGTCTTCTTTAAAATCAAACAATGCATAAAATTTTTATATTATAGATAATTTAGAAGTTTTAGCTTGACAATGTTTTTATATATTTCAATATAACCAATAAAAAATCATATTCCTTTATTATTTGTGGCATGATACAGCTCTGCCATTTTGAAGCTGCAATTTCAAGTTACTGAATTCCAAGTTTGTTTCCCCCTCTGTAAAATGGAGTAATACATCTATCTTATAGAGTTGTTATGAAAATTAAGTCTGTACATGAAAGACCAGACACATAAGAGCCACTCAATAAATGTTGGTCCCTCCCCCAAACTGATCATTACTTGATCAATATGAAGAGAAAGCTAAAGAGAAACAAATCAACAGTCTTTACAATAAGCAAAATAATTTAGTAGGTCTTCTTGTGAAGTTTAAAAATCAATTTAAGTTTTTACCCATTAATATCAACTGGTCAATGTTCTGGGTAGTTACATACTCATTCATGCCCAAATAGATGCTTGCTTTGCCAAAATAGTTTTTAAATGTTCACAATCTATTTGAAAAAAATGATATCTATACACAAAACAACTAGAGAACTCTTCAAAGCCATACTTAGTGCAACAAGAAATGAGTTCTCAGATCATTTTGAACCAGCGTTGCGGAAGCCTTCTTCAAAGAGCTAGGTCTTGAAATTAAACACAGAACCAAATAAAAAAGTATGACAGATTAGAGTATCTGGGGAACTAAAAAGGCAGCACGAAAATGAGCACAAAACTCTAGAAGGAGTAAATGGGTGACAAGACAAAGATATCTGGTCTTTATCCAATAGTGAACGGAGAGCCCCTATGCCTAAAAATATGATCAAAGTGGTATTTGAGAAAAATTAATCTGACAACATCTGTAAGAGCTGAAGCAATCTGAGGTAACAAGAAGCAATCGGGTAACAAGTGAAGCCAGGGGTAAGCAAACTTCTTCTGTAAAGGGCCAGGTAGTTTTTTGAGGCTTTGAAGCCATATGGTCTCTGTCACAACTACTTAACTCTGCTCTTATAGCGTGAAAGCAGCTAAATGACTGAGTATGGCTGTGTTCCAATAAAACTTTATTTACAGGGCCGGCCCTGTGGCTTAGCGGTTAAGTGCGTGCTCTCTGATGCTGGCGGCCCGGGTTCGGATCCCGGGCGCACACCGACGCACTGCTTCTCTGGCCATGCTGAGGCTGCGTCCCACATACGGCAACTAGAAGGCTGTGCAACTATGACATACAACTATCTACTGGGGCTTTGGGGGGAAAATAAATAAATAAATCTTTAAAAAAAAACAAAAAAAACCTTTATTTACAAAAGCAGGCAGGAGACTGGATTTGGCCATGGCTGTAGTTTAAGGACGCCTGGTCTAGACTGAGGAAGTAGGGGAAAAAAAACAAAATTTCGTTATTTTCTTTGCATGAGATGTAAACAAACAAAGGTAACACCAAAACTGGGGGCAAGCCTGAAATTAGGATAATAGTGGTGTTACTGATAGAAATTGACAAGTTTGAGAAAAAAGGTTCACTTAAAGACACGATGAGGTAGTGGTTGTCAGCGACTGGGTGGGGAGTGACCCCTAATGGGTATCAAGTGTCTTTTTGGTGTGATGAAACTGTCTGGAATTAGATGGTGATGGTGTACAATTCTGTGAATATACTAAAAACCACTGAATTTTATAGTATGTGGATTATATCTCAATTTTTAAAAGGGCAAGGGGGACATGCTGAATATGAAGTGAGGGCAGAAGACCCAAGCTGAGGTGTGTCCCATTAGGAATTAGACATATAATGCTACAGTGTACTTGTAAAAATAAGGGCAGAAGATAATAGTTTAGAGAAAAGGAGCTGCTGAAATGAAGGAGCTCTCCAAAGGTTAATACAAAAGTAATGCCTTAGGGAATGAGAAGAAACTAGATAGAAAAAGAATGGTTAAGAAAAGACATAGGCAAGATGAGAAAGCATAATAGAAAAACATACACACACTATTGGAAAGAAAGGTATTTCTAATATCAGATAGCATAAAAGTAAGCAATAAAGAAAATATAACTCTCACCAATCCTAACCATGTTAAAAAGATATAGCTTCCATTAAAGTGAAATTAGACAAGCGATACCTACTTCTCACAAATAAATATTACTAACAAGTAGCAGTTATCCTAATGATATGTAAACCCAGTCTTTTCCATCATGAGCCTATGAAATGACCTTTAGGAATCTCAAAAGCAGATGCTTTTGGTATAGCTTTTTAGCAAAAATTTGCAATTATCTTTAAGCAGTAAAAAATGCATGGCGGTAACTCTACAGAGAGCAGAATGAAGTCTCAATACCAATCCTCTTTATAGTGCTGCCAATGTGTGCCTTGTTTTCCAGACATCTCACCTGAATGGATGGCCTTCATCTGATTTCTGGATAGCTTGGATCACACCCTTATATATCCTAAAGCTGATGGTCACAGAGAGCAGGGCCAAGGCAATGTAGGCCGTTACACTCACAATGCTGAATACTGTCAACGAAAGCAGCAGGAATAAGCTGGCACCAAACACCACTCCAGTCTTCTTAATATCTCTCCAGTAGAGGAGGTCAACAACTGAAAATGAAAAAAGAAGGAATCTGAAATTAGAACATTATTTTATCCATTTGGATTTGACACATCTATATTTGCTCCACCTACAAAAATAAAACGGTCTCTAGATAAAGTAAAACCAAAACCTGAAATGTTAAACAAAGATTAACTTTATATGCTACATTTTAAACTCACTCTAAATTGTATATTAGTATAATACCTGCATTTATTTCTATTTACCATAAAATATTTTTCATTCAAATCTATTCCCTACATGTCCAAATCATTCTGGCTATACAAGATTATTAAATCTCTCAAGTATAGCATAGCAGACTTCTAATCCAAAACAAAAGGTTTCTTAAAAATCATCTTGGGGGTTTTCATCTTTATACAATGCATCATATATATTCAAATAATAGAAAAAAATCTTAACACACTCACTAAAATGAGATACTTCAGTGACACAAAAATATATTTATCTGTAGAAAAATCATAATTCAAAAACTGTTGAGAAATTAAAACTTTACTAAAAACTACACAGGAATTTCACAGCCCTGCTTTTAAGAGATCTCTCTTTGAGAAACTTAACAAAATTGTAACCTAACCTGGCTATCATTAAAACAAAAATTTCCTACAAAGCAAAAGGCAGAGGGAAACAGCCTTTAGATTACCTGAAAAGCTACTTTCCTCTAGGAGTAGATAAATATAATGACATAAAAATTTAAGTGTCAAAGAAAAACTAAACGTGTTACACTGTTATATAATGTTTATTAATAGTAAGGAGTCAGACAAAGTCTAACTTAGCAAGTTTGCTCTTGGCCTATGGTCACAGAGCCACTATGGGGATCAAATAACCACAGGTCTGTGTTCTCAAGATAGGGTTATGCACAACCCAAGGAGAATTCTGCAGTGTGCCAAAGGGCTCCTGAATTCACAGGATGAACATATTTCATCTCTCTCTGGATTGTGAACAATTTGGGGGGAGAAACATTCTTATAGTAAAATAAATATGGATATACTCTTGAGTACAATTTTAAATACCTGTTAATTTTTAAGATAAAGGAGGTGACAAAGAAAAATCACACTTCTAGGGGCTGCTTTGGTCTTGATCCCCAGGTCTTCTAAGGTATCTGACTTTCCTTTACCCTTAGAGGTACCTCTGTGGGGAAAAGTATGTATGTGAATTGTAAAATGTTAGATATTATTAGGAAGCCCTGAACATGAGTACTGATTAAGATATCTTAATTGCCTACCACAGTGTCTGGCTCATAGCAGGGGCTCAACAACACTTATTATGTTTAGGAAACGTTTATTCCATTCTCCCAAATATGACTTGATTTGAATGCTATTAATTTAATATTCTTCATATGATTTATAGCATTGTTTTCAAACTCTGGTTTCAACTATTTATTCAAGTTTTCCCCATCTCAAGTTCATTCCAACCCTGCCTAAAATTTCTACATCAGTTTTATTCTATTTAACTAGTTTCTACTACTCTACCAGTATACCAGCACAACTGCAAACTGACCAGAACTTGAAAGCGTGTATCTATGCTTTTAAAATGACATCATGAATAATGTCATATTGAATAAAGAGATAACAGCAATGCTAATAGTTTTCTGACATTCAGCAAACATTTATTGAGCTGATGCTGTTCAACAAACTCAACCTACTAGAATGAATTAGAAAACCTGAAAATAGGGACATGGACTTTCTCTTTAAGGCCCTGTCCAACTCTAAAACACTACAATTCTAGGAAGATGATAAGACACATAAAAACAATGTCAATAGGATTATAAAGTAAATACTGCACTGTTGTGAGAATTCAGAAAAGGAAAAAAAACTGGAGGAAATTTTAAAAGACTTTGTGAAAGAGACAGAATTGAACTGGGTCTTGAAGAATGGGTAGGGTCTAGAAAACCTGAAGGTGCAGGCCTAATTATAAGTCTCTGCTAACAATGATTCTAATAATAAATGCAGGGTTTTTTTAACAGGGTATAGTGAGAGGGTAGGGGAAGCAATAATAAAGACATAATTGCTTCCTGGGAGGCTCTCCTGTGCCCCACAACAGTGACTTATACAAGACAGACAAAGCACTTAGGCTCTGGAGTCAGATCATCTAGACCCGAACTCTGGCTCCATAACTTACTAGCTGTGTGACCTCAGGCAACTCATTAAATCCCTCTACACTTCAGTTTCTTCATCTATAAAATGTGTATACAAATAGGAATGATCTTATTGAGATATTGTGAGGATTAAGTGAGATAATGAATTAAAATTTTTCATTAATAAGATAATGAATATAATGCACTTAATATAGTACATAGCATACAGTAAATTCTTAAATGTCAATGATATTATTTGTTGTTATTATTATTATTATAAATATCACCATAATCACTATCACCTTTCTTATCTAGGTATTTAAATAGTAAATATATAAAGAAAACAAAAAGAAAATTCCAACCTTATTAACTTGTAAGTTAATAAACTGTATTTCTGTGTTATAAAAGTTGATAACCTAGAAGAATAAGCAAGTAAGGTATACCTCAAATCTATTTTTATATAAACAAATGCTCTTTTATAAAAACTGTCTGGTTCTCAAAGTGCTCCAAAACATTTATTAACCGTCAAAATCACTATGGTGATAAGTTCAAATAAATGCAGACATCCTTATTATTCCTTACCATCCATAAAAACTACTCCGTAAAAGCTGACTATGAAATAGATGACTTTAAATCTGAGTGGTATGTACAACATAAATTAATGTCTAATCAAATTATCTAACATAGTAGATATACTGTCCAAGCAGTTTCAATGACTAGATAAGAATTATTTATAATTAGTCTATGATTTCTATATAGACGGATATGGTGGAAGGAAATATCAGTGACCAGGATTCAAGAGACCCATGTCCTAGTACTGGCTCTGCAACTGTGTAACTTTGGACGAGACTCAAACTTCTCTGGACCTTAGTTTTATCATCAGTAAATAAGGCGTTAGATAAAAGATTTCTCTTTTCCCTTCAGAAACTAACATGATTCACACTACAAAGATACACATCACTTCTACATTCAAATTCCTAGTGGGTCCAAATAAATGAGATTTTATTGCTATATCATCTGTGCCAAATATAATTTACAAATATCTCCTTCCTTTTTAGATCTAGATTTTTGAGGGCGAGAGAGGCTTAAATATTTTTATTCATATCAGTCTTTTAAAATGAACCTTCCTAGAAACATTGTTTTTTTAAGTATCAAACATTATTAAAATTTCAGGAAAACAATAAATTCATATTCCTACAATTTTTCAAGCAATTATAAACTATATCATTATAGCAATAGTATGAGAGAAGCTAAAAAAAAAGATTGAAAAGCTACAGACCTGTTAAGCCTGACAGATGTTTTAGAAATGTTTTCCAGGTTGCTGATCTACATTCTCCACATCTCCCTTTATTTCCTGAGTCAACATTTACTGGGCACTTACTTCATGCCAAACACTGTACACTATACAACGGTATCTCCTTCAATTATTAAAATCCTATGAGGTAGGTTTTCAGACAAGAAAGTGAGACTCAGCTCTTACATGACTGGACCTAGATCACTTAATTAATAAGTGGTAGAACATGCATTTTAACACAGGCTTCCTCTTGATAAAACTCATACTCTCCATGTACAACGCTACATGGAAGGCTCAGCACATTCAAGTTCTTCAAATGTTACACATTTGCACAAATAATGAATAGGCAGAGTGTAAGCAGATAATTATCACATGTGAGATGAATCACAAAGGCCAAGAAGAAAAGTCTAAGTAAAATCAACAAGATAGGTTAATAGGAACACATAAATTTTAATGTGAATACTTCACCTATAGTTAAATCCAAAAAAGAGAAGAGAGCTCTACTCCTATACGCTTGACAGGTATTTTCCCATAGTAGAAAACTATAATTAATCAAGTTGTTGAAACCATCTTTTAAAAAGAATGTGAATCTGATTAAGTAAAATTAGGATATACCTACACAAAAGAATATGATATAGCCATTAAAGACAGTGATGTAGACCTTTATTACCATAGAAACATCCATGATAAATGAAAACAGAATGTTACAAAAAGATTCATATAGTATAGTCCCACTTAAAAAAATGATACATGTATAACTATGAAGTCTGAAAGGATAGAGGTTTTATCTCTGGGTAGTAGGGTTAGAGATGAGTTTAACTTGTTTCTTTAATCCCTTCTAGGCCATCTGAAAATGTCCCCCCTCCAATGGCAAGCATGAATATTACTATTATACTTAGGAGAAATTCATCCCTTTCTATTCCTGTTTGATACCACTAAAGATCTTATAACATGAGTGTAGTTTTCTCAGTAGGCTTTCCTATTGGGAGGAGAATATACTGTCTGCTAGTTTAACAAATATTTAGATCCAGCCGATGGTCAAAATTCTAACAGTATATAACTAAGTTGATAATTTTGGTGCTTTGGGTTGAATCAAGTCAATTTCCCCAAAGTTGATGATATGGGAATAGTCATGTATACGGTCCAGCAGTATTCAGTGATTACAGCCTGAAATACATTTAACTGCATGAAAGTACAGTAAACCCTAACCTACTACTTCTCTTCCACCTATCATATGGTTCCTAGGAATGAGGCCTTTTCAATAAATGGAAAAGCTCTGAAAATCACATATGCAAGCCCACACATATTGTGCGAAAATATGTAAATAGCTATAGGAGAATACTCAAAGCAGATACAACGAGTCCTAGGGAAGCCCTGGTAGAGCCACAGACCCTTAGAGCACTGAAGTGGGAAAAAGGGAAGAATAGCCAAGAGAGACAAGACAAGTAGGTACCAATTAGTCACACATAAGACAAAATTAATATATCCTAGAATAGAAAGGTCTGAGAGGAAATCTACACTGTTACCAAAGTCACTGTGCAAAGTATAGAAGGATTTAAATCTTTTTTTTGGTAAAGGACTCCAAGAAATTGTTAGTGAAGCTTCCAAGGATGACAAAAATATTA